CTGTAAATTATAAATTTTATCTTAGTATTCTAAGAAAAATTCATCATAGATAACTTCATTGGCTAGCAAAATAATTCCGAATATCCATTTAAACAGTCAGACATTTTATTTAGGATCAGTCTCTTCACATGGACTTTGGTGTGTGAGAGTGGTAAACTTCAGGGGTAATAGTATTGTTTCTGACTATAGCAAGTTGGATTTGGAAAGAACTTTCTTTATTCTATTTCTTTATTAGTATGTATTAGCAACATATAATGGTTATATTAATCTTAGAGAATTCATTGTTTTTATTAGAAATAGTTGTACTATTATTAACTTACATTTACATTTTAGAAGATATTTCTTCCTTGGTAAAATCACATATAGAAAAAAATGCCCACTATGAAAAAAATAATGTATTCTTTGTTGTGATGGTGAATGTTTTCTTCTGATTTTCTTTCTTATTGAAATAATCCCTTAATACATACTTCATATTTGTGGATTTTTAATTTAAAAAAAGTCTGGGGCCTCCTTCTGTCCCATACTCTTGGTATAAATCCTTACTACTTTTCATTGATTCATACATATGGCTATAGATGGTTTTATAAGAAGTTGAATTGTTTATGTTGCAGTGTTGACTAAGCTATATGTGGAAATACCTTTTTCACAAAATTGATCTCCTTAAAAAAATAATTTCCGGCTGGACAAATACCTCAGCAGATTAAAGTGCCTGCTTAGGCACATGGAGGGACCAGGGTTTGATCCCTGGCATGCTGTGCTGGTCCTGCCTGTGGGACCCTGAATGAGACTGGGCATAGTGGTACACACCTATAATCCCAGTGCTTGGGAAGCTGAAAAATAGAAGGACAACTGTGAGTCCAAGCTATGTAGTGAGACCCCTTAGTCCTTGTACTGGATACATTAAAATAATAATAATAATAATAATAATAATAATAATGTCACTTGGTATAATTTAAGATTAAAATGATTATTAACATTTCATAACTGTTATTTTATAGATGTCTTAAATAAAAAATTAATAGAATAAAGTGTGTACTGAATGAATGCTTTATATCTTAATGTGCCTTTTTTGCTTGCATTATTATTCATCTGTGTGAGCTGCTGATACTGAAGGGAATTTATGATAAACAAGGATTAAATATTTCAAGTACTAATTCTAATAGAAGGGAAGACAGAATAACATAGGAGGAAAAAGTTTGCTGAGAAAAACCTGTGCTTCTTACCTATGCATTGCTAACCCTTAGAGTAATATGTATGCATTTTAATCAGATAAATGAGCAAGTACAGACTTTCTCTGGACAAAGCATATGAAGAAAACATATCATTCATACTGCACATGTGTTAGCCAATGTTTAATCCAGAAGTAATCACAGCCAGATAAGAAGCTTACTGCCTGACAAGTCAAAAAGGAAATATCTGATTCATGCTAATGGATAATGTAATAAGTACTTTGTAGTTTAGTAACTAAACCAGTGGTGGTAAACTTATGACACACATGCCACAGAGGGCATACAGAACCTCTCTGTTGGCACTCAAGCCAATTTGACCCAATAACCAAACACTTGGATTTAATTGCATTGTTGGTAGTTTGTGAAAAATAAGTGAGTTTTGAGTTGTAATCGGGCCAATGTGGTCTCTAAAATATTCACTGTCACTGATTTAGACTAAAGGCTACATACCCCAAAGATTTTATTGCCATTGTTAAAGGAAGAATTCTATGGGGAAAAATATGATAAATGGAGGATCAAGCAGAGGAACTAAGATTTACTTACCAAATTAATACTTAATGAATTGTTTGTGTTAATAATTTGAATGCTAAATTTTACAATAAACAACTATTTTAGTAGCCATCTTCTGTTTATGATTATAAATGTCTTTTAGTTGATTCCCTTTGTATTTGTGTAATTTATCAATTTATGTTGTGTTGTAGGACCTCTTATGGCAGTTATGGTCTCTCGATAGCATATTGAAAAGTGTTGTCCCATTTCACTTGACATATAACCATTATAGATACGTATCTAATATGTGACATAGTTTTATCAATATAAAGTTATTCTTAGCATGATATGATTAGTATTTCTCTTTAAGTAGAAAAACTCACACTATGTAAAATGTACAAATATGTATACTATTTTCTCTGGAAAGATTATTGTATGCCAAAAGGATATTTTGTGTAAGATACTTTATTATAAATTATATTCAGTTGTGTTTTCTGTATGAAGCAGTGAGATTATTTCCATGTCGAACATAAGATTAGGAAAACACAGAGCTTTATTGATAAGGCTAGCCACCAGACCCTTCCTGATTACAGATAAAAAATGTGTAGCCTCATTCTTTGTTTAGTCTCTGTTTATTTCTTTAATGATTTTATTGAGAAACAAATAGCAATGAGACAGTTTCAAAACCAATTACTAGCACAGTTTCAATAATTAATACATTGCATATTATTGTCTTCTTAGTGGTTATTCATAGTACAAGATGCAGACATGATATGCTGTCCACAAACACTATTAGAACAAATCTTCCTATTCACCGAATTAAGAGAAAGTAGCTGTATATCTATCTTAACTATTTTGAATATACAGATACAAAATGGTCCTTCATTTATATCCCCTTTTTTTGTTTAGTTTTGTCAGAGAAGGGTATTCCATTGTCATTTAAATATTTTAGATGCATTAATTCAGCAAAATATTCCAATATAGTCCACTAGTCCATAATAGTAGCGGGTTTTTCGAAGGACTGGCAATGTCAGAAGCTGTTGACTTAAGCCTTTTACAGCTCAGCATATTAATATGGCTTTACTTAGTCTCTGTTTAAATACTTTCTTTGTTTCCTGGGCAACCATAACACCATGGTTGTTGACTCAAAGCCATAGTCTTTTTCTTTGTAATTAGTTCTGTTTTCCTCTTACCATTTTCATGTTTAAAACATCTTAACAAGATGTGGAAGGAGTGAAAGAGTTATAACACCTTAACAAGGGTGTGGAAGGAGTGAAGGAGTGACATATTTCACGCAGGATCATATATTTTTTTATTAATTAGTTTTATAGAGAAAGAAATAGCAATGAGACAGTTTCAAAACAGGTTAGTAGGACAGTTGCAATAATTAATACATTGCATATTGTTGTCTTCATAGTAGTTATTCATAGTACAAGATGCAGACATGATATGTTGTCTAAACACTATGAGTACAAATCTTTTTTCTCATTGAACTAAGAGAAAGTAGCTGCATATCCTAATTTGTATAATATATATATATATATATCTGTATATATATATTTTTTTTTCACTACAAAATGGTCCTCCATTTATATCCCCCCTGCCCTTCCTTTTGGCCAGGTCAGGCCACCCTGAGGGCAGGGCTGGCGCAGCATGTGCTGCCTGAGACTGAACCTCGGTCCTGTTGATTTGGTCCAGGTGCCTCCTATCTTTTCTAAACACATTCTGAGGAGGGTCATGTAAGGTTAACTCTGCCTTACTATCTCTTATCCCTAACGTGGATTAAAGACTAAACTAGAGCTTCCTTTGCTAGGCTAAAATTAACCCAATTGAGAGCCATGATCCCCTACATGTAGAAACAGTTTCAACTATATCCTACAGATAAGATATAAAACATTGTAGTGTTCATGATTTAGATTTCTTATTCCTTATTTGTAATTGATAATTAATTGTACTAAGATGATACATATAAAGTGTTATTAAAAGCTTTATAAGAATCATAAGACAGCAAGTTAGAGAAATCCTTAGTATTCATGGTACTGATTCTGTTGGTAGCAGGGGTGGTGAGGAATGTGACTGGTTTTGTAGATATACGAAGAAGTTCTGAAAAATTTAGGACCATCTTTGATATGTATTGGGTAAGACTGTTAGAAGATGAATTGCTCATGGAGGAATTGTTCATCTTTGTGTGCTAGAAGTATAACTCAGAATGCAGATACTTGCAATTTCTTCCTCCTAGCCATATAGGGAAATATATGTATCTACCATGTTTTGTTTTTCCTTTCATTTCCATCAGTGGACATTTGAATAGCTTCTATCTTTTGGCTATTGTAATTAATATTCCTGTAAACATGGGTTGCAAATAACTCATTAGGATATATGTCCAGAAAAAAAGACTATGTTGCTCTTCATAGCAGCTGGACATTGTTGCATTTGCACTAGCAATATATGAGGAGTTCAGTTTCTCTATGTCTTTCCCAACA